GTATACATTATCGTCTCTACTCTCGATGCCTGATACATAGCATCGACGTCCAACTATCGACATCCTAATATTAATCATTTTAAGTACAAATTCTACTTAAATGACTTATTATTTTTAATATTATACTTATTCAATTTTTATACAATATTTTTAAAATATAAAAATTATAATGTCATGTCCAACCGTGTTCGTGCCCTATATTTTCAATAATTAACATGTCTTGTGTCTATGTCGTATCGTATATGTGTCATCATATACCTGTCTATGCATCACACATGATAATCCAAGGCACACTCAAAACCATAACAAGATTGCCTCCAAAGCCTGAGAAAACGGAGGTGTTAATATTTCAAAATTTAGACATATTTTAATTTGGGATCACTTGAAAAGTGTGGGAAATTAATATTTAGAATCATGAGAAGCTTTCCAAATTCTCTTATGCATCCCAAAAATCATTAGGAGGTTGTTAGGAGGGAAGAAAAGGAACAACCTAGGTTATTAAGTTGATAGGGCTCCAGTAGATGAGGTTCAACAATGTACTACGGAAATGCGCTGTTAGAAATATCCAACTCAATATAGCTCCATGCATAAGCTAAGGGATTTGATTCGATCCAAGGGGAGCTAATAGCCAAACTAAATTGGTTGCAAGCCCAGACCAATGGATGAGTTTAAGCCTAATCAATCTTTAGTTAGCCAAATTAAGAAGTTTCTAGATCAAGTTAAATTAAGTTACCTGAGCTCATAGCTCAAGCTAGGTCCACAAATTTAATGCCAGTTAATTGAGATACAAAATAAATGAGATAGGCATTAAATGAACCTATTAAAAATTTAATTGCACTTGCCTTTAGTCAATTTATGCTAATAGTTGGCTAAGTTTGGATCAAACCTAATATTCTTTAGGTGCACCCCAATGGACTCTAATTGGGGTTAATTAATCAAAATTATGTGGGTTAAGTGCACCCCATTGCACTCTAATTGGATTTAATTAATCAAAAGAGCTTTGGGCTAGGCTAAGCCGGTCCCAAGTAAGCCAAGTAAAGACTTCATTATCCACCGGCACTTCGTTTTAAGAGGGTATGCAGTGTCGGACATGTGTCGGACACGGACATGCATCCGACACGGCGAGGACACATGTCGGACACATCACTATTGTGTCCCATTTAAAAAAAATTAAACCGGGCACACGTGTCCGGCTATTATATAATTAAATAAATAAAAAAAAACTCTAATCCTACTATTTCATATTAGCCGGTTCACACTCGAGTCTTCATCTTTTCCTTAACTCCATATTCCTATTCGTATTCGTGGTCTTCCCGAGCGAATGAGGCGAGCAGCGGTTGGCTGGAGATCGCACCCTTGGTCTTCCCTTCTGGCCCTAAGCAACAAGCCATCCTTCTTAGTTTTTGGGCGCAGCCAAGAGAAGCCGATGCCAAACCTCAAAAAATATTTCAAACCTGTAAGTTGATTTCGTCATTTTTTTCTCCATTCGCCATTTCTCTTCATTTATCAATGATTCTGTAGATTTGTGATCAGAATAGCATATTTTTTAAAAGTATTTTATTTGTTTTGGATTAAAATTATTCATACAATAAAAATTTATTTATTTAATGTGTTTTAACTGCGCTTTCATTGAGTTTTAAATGCGCTTTAACTACTCTTTAAGTGCGCTTTAACTACGCTTTTATTGCGCTTTTACTGCGCTTTTGCTGTGTTTTCACTCTTACAATAAAAATTTGTTTCGGGGACAGATCTCGCGACCTGACCTGACAGGTCTAGCCGCTGCCCCCTTGGACCCCCCGCATAGTTGCAAATTTTTAATTGTTTTTTTTAACTTTGTTTGGCAATTTTTAATTGTTTTACAATAAGTTTTTATTTCTTCTACTTCACTAGTGAATTTAAAAGCAAAATGATCTCTAGTGCTTGTGGGAGTGGTTCAAAAGAGACATCTGTAGAAACTGAATAGCTATTATGAATTCATGTTACAAAGTTAGGAAAAACTATTGAAAGAGGGAATGTGTCATTCAAATACAATTATTGTGGTGGCACCTACAAAGGATCTTATTCTAGGGTGAACGCACATCTAACTAAGATTTATGGCCATGGAATTAAAAGGTCCTAAAATTACTACGTCACAGTTGATTGAATTGAATAAACAAGTTTATGAAGCTAAATCTAGGATCGAAATGGCACTTCCTAAAGAGATATATTTGTCATATACCCATGGTTCATCCCACACTTCTTCTTTATCTGTTAGAGTTGATCATTCATTATCATATTGAAGTGAAGGATATGATTCAAAGAAAAGAAAAGGAGTTGTCAGTAATGCTTTAGAGAAGTCTTTTAAGATGCGGTAGCGAGAGGAATTAGATGATGAAATTGCAATGATGTTTTTTCAGCTGGAGTTCCTTTCAACCTTGCAAGAAATCCTCATTACAAAAATACATTCACTTTTGTATGTAATAATAACCTTGCAGGTTATGTTCCACCTGGCTACAATGCATTAAGATCAAAATTATTGGAAAGGGAAAGAGCACATATTGAAACATTGCTTGAACCAATAAAAAGTGTGTGGAAAGAAAAAGAAGTCACTTTGATGTGTGATCGTTGGACTGATCCTCAAAGAAGACCACTCATTAATTTCATGGCCATTATAGAGAATTGTCCAATGTTTATTAAAGCTGTGAATTGTTAAAGAGAATACATGGATAAATATTTCATTGTCAATTTGAAGATGTGATAGTCATTATTGGGCCTTCAAATGTTGTGCAGAATATAATAGATAATGCACCGGTGTGTATAGTTGTAGGATTGTTGGTGGAGCAAATTTATCCTCATATATTTTGGACTCCATGTGTTGTGCACACTTTAAATCTTCTTCTAAAAAATATTTGTGCAGCAAAGAAATATAGAGGCAAATGAAATCATCTATGCTGAATGGCATTGGATAATAGTGGTTGCAGATGATACTATTTTGATCAGAAATTTCATTATGAATTACTCAATGAGACTTTCAATATTTAATGATTTCTCACATTTGAGAACGTTAGCTGTTACTGAAACTCGTTTTGCCTCTGTAATAATCATGTTGAGAATATTCAAACAAATAAAAAATGTCCTTCAATCTATATGATAATTAATGAGAAGTTGTCTTGCTATCGAGAAGATGATGTTGGAAAGGCAAGATATGTGAAAGAAAATGTCTTAGATGATTTGTGGTGGGATGATGTAAATTATATTTTGGCTTTCACTGATCCGATTTATGACATTTTGAGAGAAGCTGACACAGATAAATTATTCCTACATTTGATTTATGAGATATGGGACTCTATATTAACAAAAGTAAAAGAAATTATATACAGACATTAAAGAAAGTCACATAATGAAGACTTAAATTTTTGGAGCATTGTCTATACCATTCTTGAGGATAGGTGGACCAAAAGAAGCACACCTCTACATTGTTTGGCTTATTCATTAAATTCAAGGTATAATTGTATTCATCTTTTAAATTAATTTTAAATTTCTTGATAAATGACTAAATAGTTTTATATGCTTTGTATTATTTGAAGGTATTCAAGTAAAGAATTGCTTCAAGAAGACCCTCAATGTGTCTCAACAGAAAAAGATTTAGAAGTGTCAAATATGATAAAAATATGCTTGAAACGATATTTCTCAAAAGATGATGAGAGAAGAAAAATTAATATAGAACTTGTAAAGTTCTTTGGATATTTAGAGGATTTTGGTGATAAAAAATCTTTGGATGATAGATGGAGAATGAATCCAAAAATGTGGTGGTTGATTCATGAAGCTTCAGCATCATTTCTTCAAACCATAGTAATAAAACTTCTTGGTCAAGTATCATTCTCTTCCTGTTGCGAGAGAAATTGTAGCACATACTCATTTATTCAATCAATGAAGAGGAATATAATAACTCCATAACGGACTGAAGATTTAGTTTATGTGCATACAAATCATTGTCTTCTATCAAAGAAAATTCTATTTTATATGACAGGTGATAATAAGATGTGGGATGTTACTGGAAATGGGTTTGAGTGCCTTGATGATATGGGGTCATTAGAGGTTGAAAATCTTTCTCTAGATGAACCAGAGTTGAAAGCAATGATATTCAATTATGATGATATTGAAAGCCAAAGACCAATCTCTGAATCTAATTCTATCATTCCCTCTATTGAGTAGTTGAACCTTCATATTGTACTAAATAATTTTTTGCTTATACTTTTGTGGTTGTACTAGATATTTTTGTACTAAACATTTTTATGTTATAAGCTAAACAAGTTATCATGACTTTGATTTATAATTGCTTGCAATTTTTAATATAATGTTACCTTAATTTCTATATATTATATTAAAAAATTATTATGCCGTGTCCACCCGGCACCCGTGTCCTATATTTTAAAAAATGCTATGTGAACAAAAAATTATAGATAATATGTCTGTGTTGGTGCATTATAGATAATATGTTAAAGGATGACATATTAATTTTTTATTAAACTATGAAATAATAAATTTGCATATATGTGAACAAAAAATTACACAAGACATAATATATATATGGTAAGATATAAGTTTCATGCCAGCGAAGCGATGCGGGCTTCAACCAAGCTAAGGTGCAAGCCTCCTAAAAAACTCCAAGGAGTAAGCCTCGAGATATTTTTCACTAGAATTGCGTTGATGCGGGCCTCAAGGTGAGCCTCATATTGCTCAATTTTAAACAATGGACTCATAATAACGAGACAAAGAATGCCAATATATGCTATTATTCTAATAATATAAAATTTCAATAATTGGGAAATGAGCTAAATGTATTGACACTTCTCCCACTTTCTTATGCCGAATACCAACTTAAAACAGTTTTCAATCAGACAAATCATATGAGGCATCTGCTTCGCAGAAGATCATGGAATCGTTAGGCCAATAGGTGTAAACATGTTAAAATAAACGAAGAAGGATGGATCAAAAGATTAACACTTTTCACGACTGACCAGACCCAGCTGCCGTGACCGCCTGCCTGTACTTCTTGTCCTGCACATCCCCAGCAGCAAAAATGCCTTTAACACTGGTCTGAGTGGTTCCGGTTTTTGTCACAACATAGCCATCTGAATCAAGCTCCAGCTGTTTTTCAAGAAACTTGGTGGCCGGCTCATGTCCGATTGCAAAGAACAGGCCAGACACCGCCAACTCAGTAATATCTCCAGTGAAAATATTCTTCAGTTTCAGTCCACTGAGCGGTCCTCCATCCGTGGCACCATAAGCCTCCGCCACCTCTGAGTTCCATACCACCTCAATCTTAGGATTACTCAATGCTCTTGCTTGCATGATCTTGGAAGCCCTAAAAGTGTCCCTACGATGTAAAATGTAAACCCTAGATCCGTACTTGGTTAGGAAATTTGCCTCCTCCATGGCCGAGTCGCCGCCGCCAACAACCGCAATGGGGCGATTGCGGAAAATAGGGGCCGCGCCGTCGCAGACTGCGCAGGCTGAGATTCCCCTGTTCCATAATTCATCGGCGCCGGGGAAGTAGAGGCGACGAGCAACGGCTCCTGTGGCTACAATGACAGCGTCTGCCTCCACGACGGTAGAGGAAGAGAAAACGCGGAAGGGACGGGAGGAGAAATCAACGGAAGTCACCGTCTCAGAGAGAACCTCGGTGCCAAATCGGACGGTCTGGGCGCGACATCGGTCCATGAGCTCAAACCCTAGGATGCCCTCAGGGAAGCCGGGAAAGTTCTCCACGTCGGTAGTTGTGGTAAGCTGTCCGCCTGCAGCGATGTCGTTGGCCATCCATCCCTCGAAGAGGACGGGCTTGAGCTCAGCGCGAGCGGCGTAAATGGCCGCCGTGTGGGCCGCTGGGCCACTTCCGATGATGCAGATGCGGGTGCGGAAGATCTTGCGAGTGTCACCCATGGCAGAGTATGAGGAGTTTGATGACGGAGGGGCGGCGTATGTAGAGTAAATGGAGGCTGCGGTGGTGGCTGCAGCCGCAGTAGCTGCGGCAGAAAAAGAGCGGGATTTCAAGATAGATGCAAGCCTGGCGCAGAAGCTCATGGGATTTTGAGAAGAATAAAAAGAGTTGGGTCAACATATGCTAATTCAAATGATAAATTTGATGTTACATTCTTCCAAATAATCTTAATTTGGGTAAGCAGTCTGAAGAATTTAGGTTTTTATTTGTGATGATTTTTTTGTTATTTTTAAAATAATTTTTTAAGTAAATACTAAAAATTTTTAAACTAAAAATATATTTTTTAAAATAATAAAAACACCTTCCCAAATGTAGTCTTATTCTGAATCCTCTAGTTCTAAAGAACTTTAGACAGTAGTTTGTGTTATCGGATAATTCTAACATCTCAAATAACTTAAAAAATATTTGTAAAATGAATGTCTAAAAGATTTGCAGTGAAGTGCATTAGTAGTCATAATCATACAATATCAAAAATTATATACGAAATGAGATCTCACATAACATTAAAGATTCTTTGCTCTACTTCATTAAAAAAATATATGAGTTTGTATCAACTCAAGACTTAAGGAACTCTTTCTCTTCTTTCATAATATACACTAGGGTTTTTTCAGACCACTTGAAAGAATTCTCTTTTTGACTTATTGAACATAGAGATCACTCCTCTACAATATCAATCAAATAATGCATCTAACACAATTATACATGATTCATAGATCTTTTAGAGCGAGGTACACCCATTTCTAGGGATGTAAATGAACGGAGTCAAATTCAGTATTAAACTCTTCGAGTCCGTTCGTTTATTTTTTTTATTAAGTTTGAACCAAGCTTGAAAATGATATGAGTTTTAAAATTTTATTCAAGCTTGTTTATTATCTTTTTATTGAAGTTAAGCCACAATCAAGCTTTAATTAAGCTTAACTAATTATATGTTTGATACTAATAATTTAAACATAAAGCCTAATAATAATACATAATTGGATTTATAGAATTTAATAAAAAATGGTATAATTCATTAGGTGTTATTCAAGTTATGAACCTAAATTAGAGTGCACCAAGTCCACTCTTATTTAGCTGAACCTGAATCAAAGTGAAAATAAATAAGATTTTCTTAAATTTTCTCATTAAAACCATGGGATTTGATCTGGCAAATTGCTCTAATTATCATTGGCAACAATATGATTTTGCTATTGAATATATATAGTAATATTTCATTGTTGTTCATTTAAAGTTTTCTTAAAAATGAATAAGATTTTCTTAAAATTTAAGGTTTATTTATCAATTGCATTCTTAATTAAGTTTGATCATATATCTCCTTTGATGTTTGATCCTGATCAATAGTTGTCTTTCTAGAATAAGGAGTAGTGTGTTATTTAGTTCATCATTTTATTTTCTAAACTTATTTAAAGTTGCATGAATAAGATATATTAAGCTTACATTATTTCATATTTGAAATTGGCTTTTCAACTACAGGCTTGAGTGGATGCCAATAAAGTGTGGAAACAGATATCCCAAGATGTGGTTGCTATTGTGTAAAGAAACCACCCTCATGATAAGGGTCATTTTTGTGGATTTTCGCGTGATGTTTTTTGAAGACATTTATTGTAATAGATTGATTATGTACATATATGAAGCATCAAGAAGCCTTTTTTTTTTTGTAAGTTTAAAAGTTCTTATAATTTTGGATTTATGAAACATTTTTTTTATTTGAAGAAAGATAAATTATGTAAGCTCTCATATGTGAGATTTTTAGAAATTTGATTGAAGATTAATTATTTGCAATTGAAGAATTATGAGTCATCATAATTAATTAATGTTTGAATGTAATCTACATAGTTCAAAGCATATATTGAGGCACATAATAGTGTCATTATATTATAATTTTTTCATTAAATTGAAGTGTTGGGAAATCATATATCTTAGGACAATTTAAATTTGTCTTGTTATTAAGCTTGTCCCATCAAATAAATGCATTAGTAAAGTTAACCTATTATGACACCTAATGTTTATTGTATTTATTCATAATTTCCATCACAATAAGATGTTGGAAAAGCTTGTCTATTAGGGTACCTTATAGGTGTCATTTAAAGTCTATTCCATCAAAATTATATGCCATGAAAGTTTAGTTTTTAGGGCACAAAAAGATGCCCTTTTCCCTATGTCAACAGCCACCTAAGTGACACCATAGTTTGATCTCACAGAATATCATGTGCTTTAATGGATACATATTAAGGCCCTTTAAGGTGCCCTAATAGCCATCATTTTTTATAGTATCAATACTTCTAAGCTTATTACTTTTAATTTTCCTAATTAAATATCTTTTCATTTTTGATAAAATTTACATAATCTATGAAGCATATAAAATTTATTTAATAAAGGAATCTTATAGATTTCTAAATCAAGTTTATTATACTTAATTAATAATATACACATCATTTTAATAGATATTTAGATTATGAGAAAATCATACCATACAAATAAATATCAATGGATCTCTAACATACTCCTACGTTAATATAAAAACCTTCAAGATGTCCATCTCGGTCCATATTGAGTTTTTTCAGCTCAAATCTGATTGAACTTGAGTTGTACAATGTTCGTCCCATATAAGTAATTATCGTGCACATTCACCAAAATATTACACCTGAAATACTTAGCTTATAAATTAGAACATTCAAGCATATATTTATTATCATCAAAATTACTAAAATAGGTCATGAGTAAGATAATATCAACAAGCTCGCTCTTTTTTATGATGACAAACTTATATTGGGTATAGTTATAGCAAAGGTGCAAATTGACATTTTATCATAAATTTTAAGCATTAAAATAATTACATGTATAATAATTGAGAAATATTTTTAAATGTTAAGTTGCTAAAAAATAATTCTCCCCCTAAATATATGCACTTGAAAAGAATTATGACCAATATATAATTTTTACCCCCTTTGGCAACATTAAAACGAATAATATAAATATATAAAAAGTTTAAATATTAGGGTATAACATCCTAAGCATATATTTTTACATACAAAATCTTTCTTCATCTAATGGTTTTGTAAAAATATATGTTATTTAAGAATTTGCATTTACAAAATTTATATCCACATCAAACTTATTAACATAATCTCTAATAATATGATGTATAATCTCTATGTGTTTAGTTCATAAGTGTTGTATATGATTTTTTTATTAACCTCATAGCACTTGTGTTATCAAATTTAATAGGAATATTTTAAGCTTAATTCCAAAAGCTTCTAATTATTGCTTTATCCATAAAACATGAGCAATGCAACTACCTGCATCTATTTACTCAACATTAGTAGTGGATAAAGCTACATATATTTATTTTCTAAAATGCCAAGAAATAAGTGACGATCTTAAAAATTGATAGGTTTTATATATACTTTTTCTATAAACTTTACAACCAGCTTAGTCTGCATCAGAATATACTACTAAATTATATGACAACAAAATTTTGGGATGCCATAAGCCTAACCTAGGAGTTCCTTTCAAATAGTGAAATATTCATTTAACTACTATTTTAGTGTGATTCCTTAGAATTAGCTTGAAATCTTGCACACAAACATATTGCAAGCATAAGATCAAGCATACTAGCAGTAAGATACAAAAGTGAACATATCATACTCCTATAAAATTTTTTATATATTATTTTTCCTGATTCTTCTAAATCAAGTCTAGTTGATGGGCTTATAGGGGTTTTACTCAATTCGAATCTCTTCATATTAAACTTTTCTATATACTTAGTGTTACATATGAATGTGCTAGACTGTAATTGATTTACTTGAAGTCCTAAGAAAAATGTGAGTTCTACTATCATACTCATTTCAAATTTCTTTGACATTAATGAAGAGAACTCATGGCACATACTTTCATTGGTCCTTCAAAATAATATATCATAAACATAAATTTTATAATAATCAATTCATCTCTATTTTTTTGATAAAAAGAGTTATATCTACCTTACCTTTTTTAAAATATTCAATTAAAAAATTCCTTAACTTATCAAACCATGCACGTAAAACTTGTAAATTATATAATGCTTTCTTCAATTTATACACATGATTAGAAAAATTAATGCTTTCAAAACAAGGTGGTTGTCCTTCAAATGCTCTTTTGACCATTATACCCATTCAAAAATGCACTTTTGACATCCATTTGAAAAAGTTTAAAGTCCTTAAAACATGCAAAGGCAAGGACTAATCTAATGGCATCTATTTTTGTTACAGTTGCAAGAGATTCTTCAAAGTCTATTCCTTCTATTTGAGTGTACCCTGGTGCAAGTAACCTAGCTTTATTTCTAATAAGACTTCCTGAGTCATCTAGCTTATTTTTATAGACTCATGTAGTTCCAATTATATTTTGATCATGAGGTCTTGGGACTAGCTCCCAAATATAATTTCTTACAAATTGATTAAGTTTTTCTTCCATAACAACTATCCAAAAATTATCTTGTAAAGATTTATCTATATTTCTAGGTTCAATTTCTAATAGAAATACTGAATGTTTTACCTTATCACTATGGTTTCTCCTAGTCTTAACGCATTGAGAAGGATCACTAATTATTAAAATTTTTGGGAAATTTCTATTATATCACTATTCATTAGGTAATGAATCATCCTACTTTTCTTTCAAATTTATTTTATTTATATTCTCAATATCATCATCATTTAAATCATTTCTTATTAAATTTATAGAATTTTCATCAAAAATTACATGAACATATTCTTCAATAGTTAATTTTCTCTTATTAAAAACTCTAAAAGAATTTTCAAAAATTGAATATCCTAAAATATACCATCATCAAACTTACTATCAAATTTTTCTAAAAGATTCTTATCATTATTTAAATTAGAACACTTACATTTGAAAATATATAATTGATAAACCTTAGGTTTCTTTCAAAAAATATTTCATAAGGGGTCTTTTTAATAATATGTCTTAAATAAACTCTACTTGTAACATAACATACAGTGTTTATTGCTTCTGCCTAAAAATACTTTGGAACTTTATATTCATCTAACATTGATCTTGTTAATTCTACCAAGTATGATTCTTTTTTAAACTATGCCATTCTGTTGAGGAGTCCT